AAAAAAAAAAAAAAAAAACAAACAAAAAATGAACTTTCAAAGCATACAATAATTGAACACCATTTTATTTCGTTACTCGAGATACAATTTAAAAAAAAAAAAAGGAAATAAATCTATTTGCATATTAATGTCCAAACTTTCGATCGAAGAAAATAATACGATAAACATACCTTATCCTTTTATATAATAAAAAAAAACCCAATAAAGTAAAATATATTTGACATATAAATATAAAAACTAAAAAACAAACAGATAAATAAAAATAAACGAGCAAGGATAAGAACGGAAAACAAATAGAAACTTATTTTCAGGTTTGGACGTTGGTTGGGGGAGGGGCGTGGCGGGGAGGGGGGGAGGGTAGACAATCAAACAACAAACAGAACAAAAACCATAAGATTAACATTCATTTTCGATTATTTCTGTATACGTATACAAAGTGCTTTCATTCTCATCGTTCATTCGCTTTTCTTTTCTTTATCAAGTGGTTCTATATGAAGATGAACGTTTGTGAGAGTGCAACAAAGAGTAGGAGAGAGTGAGAGAGAGAGAGAGAGAGAGGAATAGACGAGGAGAGAGCATCGATGATAAAAAGCGTTGAGCCGATTATAGGGTAACGTCAGTCGGTGTTGTTCCTTCCTCCCTCTCGTGTTGATGATCATCGATGTGACTTTTAAATTTATATAAGTTTTTTACGTGTATCGTATTACGTGTCGTGTAGTGTAAAAAGAATTTATATAGTTTTTTTTCTTTTTTTTTTTTTGATTTTATTGTATTAAAATTTGTGTGAAAATAATTATATACAAAGTAAGTGTTAACAAAAATGATAAATAATTATATTTAGGTATATAAAATCGTTTGTTATTTCTTCGATTTACGATTTAAATATGTATTTGTTAAATGAATTATAATATATCTTACTTATTATATTATTGATATATCTCGATATACGAATGTTCTTAGGTTTGATATGAACATTGAAGATCTTGAACACGTGGTTTATTTTAATGAAACAGTATTGATGAACGTTAATCTATTATTTCATAGGAGATTGTTATAAGATAATCTTAATTGACGTGGGTAGATCTCGGTATTAGATAGGTAATTACCAAACCATTCTGCGAAACGTAATACGTCGGGTCCATTCTATATAATTTGTGTATGTGTATGTGTATTATGTACGTATGTGATCTTATTTCATTCGTTATTCTAAAAGGAAGGGTATACAAAATTTGTGATCTTAACGAAAAAGAATATATTTTATTTATCGATTTAATCAAATTTTTTTTTATTTTTATTATTATTATTATTATTATTATTATTATTTCTGTTTATTATTGAGATATTATATGTATTACTATGGTTGCTTAGAACGAAAGTAGATCAAGAGCTTAAAGTTCAAGTATTCGATAATATCAAAGATGACACTTTATTGTTGAGAAAAAAATGAAAATAATTATCTTCTTTGTAACGTGTAAAGAATTTGTTTTATATCGTAAACGATGATTCGTTAAAAACTGAAATTAAAATAATAATAAAATGAGATCAATCTTTTTAACAAAAAAATTTTTTTTTTCATAATTATGATTTTCATTTTATATATATATATATATATGTATATAAAAGAATAAATTTGTTGGATATTATTATAGAACGATTAGTTATATAGCATTACATTTAAAAAGCGAACACGATCTGAAAGAGACACCCGCATTAGTGTCATTGGCGATAACTTGAAATAAATAGCGAGAACGTAATCTCCCCTTCTTCAATAAAACCCCTTGGATTTGACTTTAATACGGATAGATTTTATTAATAAAATATAATATATTATATCGAACGTTGTGTGTGTCTACGTTATATATTAAAAGTTATTACAAAATTTATATACAATTTTTCATTATCAAAATCATCTCTCTCATTTCATTATTTTATTATTTAACTAAAAATTTCATATTATTGTTTGTAACGTTTTTATTTAAGATCATTAAGTTCAATTCTATTTTTGTGTTTTCTATCTATAAATATACGTTTAAAAATTATTATAAAAAAAGAAAAAAAAATAGATCGGGGAGATACGGTTTTTTGAATGAAAAGAAGATCAAGGAGATTGATAGAAAAACTGATCCGTACGTTGTCTAGTATCGGTCGGTCAACGGTAATTTTCTCGGTGCAATGGATTACTACTATACTGATTTTGCTCTACACATCGTTCTTTCACTATTTACTTGTATTACCAAAGAGAAAAAGGAACAAATACGAGAGACAGATAGATGAAAAGAGTTAAAACTAGGAGAGCGCGTACACTGTGTGACTTTTTTACAGGGTCATGCCAGTGAAAGAGTGGTTCAGAAAACTACAGCCTGTACAGCTGTACTTGGTTGTATTCTTCACAGTGGCTTTCTTCATCATCGAGATGGTAGCCAGTCATGTTACACACTCGTTAACGTTACTTCTCAACGCCTATCACATGCTCTGCAACATCATTGCAATCCTCGGCTGTCTTGTTTCAATCAAGGTAAACATATTACAATAAATTTTAATTATTATTTTCAATCTGTGTTATATAATCTCTTCGTTTTTTGTTTTTATTTTTTAACGAAACATTTCATTTCAAATTATCATATTCTAAATCATTCCATTCGTATAATATAACGAACTTTTTTATTCGATCATTTAGTCGATAATCAGTTTCTTTTTTTTTACTTATAAATTTTATATTTAATATTTTCTATATTAGAATCTCTCGATTTTTTTATTTCTTACGCGATATTATTGATATATTGGAAATAATTAAACGTTCGAGTTTGTCACGAAACTTCAATTTTACGTTCTTTGTTTTTTTTTTTTTTTTTTTTCTTATCATTTACGTATTACACGATAATATTTACAGCTTGATATATTAGCACCGTGACACACAACTCGTAATCATTTTTATTTTTTACTTATAAATTTTATATTTAATTTTCTACATTAGAATATAGATTTTTTATTTCTTACCATATTATTGATTGGAAATAACCAAACGATCGAGTTTGTCACGAAACTTCAATTTTTACGTTCCTTTTTTTTTTTTATCATTTACGTATTACACGACATTATTTACAGCTTGATATACCAGCACCGTAACAACTCGTGTTTTAATAATAAAAACGTATACTGTTTTGTTTTATCCGATCGTTTGTGTGTGCATTATTCCTCGTATTCACTCAGACGATTACGTTGCCATTAGGATAAAAATTACTTACCGACAATATTCATGTCATTTTTATTATTTCGCTTTCACTTGAGTGTTCCGCAATTTAACGAACGATTTCTACTTATTATACTCGTGATATACGGTATGTCATTTTTAAATAAGATTTCTCTTTACGTTACATACAAATTTATCATTAAAGAAAAAAGAAAGGAAAAACAGAAACAAAAATATTGAAATATCTCTTTAACGATTTCTTATGTTAGATAAATTATATATATATTAGATTAGATTAATTTGAGAAGAATATTGAAGGGTTAACTGAGAAGGGGATGTTTCCTGTTTTTACAACATTGTCTCGATAGGATTCACAAATGTTATTTATGCTTTGTGTTGTAATTGAATTCTGATAAAACAATGTCTTGTCTTTTTAAGATATTAATTCTTCTCTAATGATCGGATAAAAAAGTATAAGTTCAGAATTTGGGGTTGAATAGTCGAAAACTTGTAATATTAAATAAGTGCATACATGTAATGTAAAATTATATGTTAGAATTTTGTATGTAAAAGTTTATATAATAATATGTATTTATGTGTCACTCATTTCAACAATCTAATTCCAATTAACATATTTATCCCCCCTGTTATAATTAAAATATATTTTTCGATCTACTCGCCCCCCCCCCTGGAAGAAAAAGAAATTAATTGTTTTTTTTTTTGTATTATTTGACAGTATGCTCCACGTGAACGTTATAGAAATGTTTACCATAGTAGGAACAATTCTCTCAGAAATTCAATGATTTGTTTGGACGGTCAGGAACATGGCTCGAATAATTCTTTATCTACGAAGACAAAGGTAATAATCATAACAGTATTTATCTTGTATGAAATATACAAAAATTATATCTACCGTATTATTTTTTTAGATTTTTTTCTTTTTTATAATATATTTAATTAATTCGTTCGTCACATTATACTTTGTAGATAAAATAATAAGTATTTTGCAAAAGTAAACAAAATATTTTCATATATATATATATTTTTTTTGTTTTCCAGCAATCACGATCGGACAGGCGAATGAGAAACAGTTTTGGATGGGTTAGGATCGATATCTTAACAATGCTGATTTGTTGCATTCTCCTTGCTTCCTTTTGTTTTTCTTTGGTAGTCGAGGCGTTGCAAACATTGGTCCACATAGATCATCTCGATGAGATGCATCATCCTGTTGCTGTATTTTGCATTGGGGTAGCTGGAATTTTTCTTAATATCTTTTGTTACATTATCATAGGTGGATTCACATTTAATCAAGGAATATTGCTACACGTAACCAATAACGGTGATGTTATATTTAGAAGGTGAATATCTGTGTAAAAAAATTTAGTAAATATTATATATATATATGTATTTAAATTAACGTGTTAAAACAATTTTGTTAATATATATTAATTGTGTCATAGAATTAACATAAGTGTTATATATCCTAAAACAATTTTTATTAAAATATTATTTATTTTAGAAACGTAAAATTACAACCGGAGGTAGAAGGTGAACAACAATTAGCAGAACAAACTAGAAGAAGTCCTTTAGCAGTGCCAAAGATTCAAGGATTACGAAGGATATGTCGCGATGTTCTTGGTTGCCTTTATGTCATGATCGTATCAGCATTAGTATACTTTACTGATTCTGGTGTAGCCAAATATTTGGATCCTTGTTTTGCCATTATTTCATCAATATCGCTCTTAGTTCTGAGCTACCCGTATAGTAATTATCATTTATTTATGGATTATGCGATAAGATAAGCTTTAAGAATTTGGAAAATCGATATATCTTTTTCTTCTTTTTTCTTTGTTCCTTTTACGTATCGATTTTTTACGTTACACAGTATATAAATAAACATATCGTGATAACAAAAAAAATAATTAACTTATAAAACAATGTTGGATCAATAATTTAAACATTTTTTTGTAATAGACATATAAACGAATTTTGATTTCTTATTTGTGATTTTCTTTTTATATTCGAAGTATAATTCGTTGAAGATTTTATCAATGATCGTCTTAATGACTTTTTCAGTTAAGGAATCAACAATGATATTACTACAAACCATACCAAATCACATTAACATCGATTCATTGAAGAAAGATTTACTTGAGGCATTTCCAGGGATAGTCGATGTCCATGACTTTCACGTTTGGCAATTAACATCTCAGAAAATTATATCGACAGTTCACATAATATTTTTAAATCCAATGGTACGTATACAAGTAACGCGTGATACTCTCTCTCTCTCTCTTTCGATGATAATTTAAAGGAAGTAAAAAAAAGGAACAAAAATCATTCTCGTCGCTGTTTCACAGGTTTTCGCTAATATCATCGATCAAATCACAGTATTTTTTATCCAAAGAGGTATAACTCAAGTGACCATACAACCAGAATTTCATAAGGTTTGAATAAACATCATTTTATTTCACACATCGCGTGTTATTAATATCAATTAATAGAAAATTATTTATATATTTCATATGTTATATTATATTTTTGATTATATAGATAAAACCGAATGCAGACAAAGCCGATTGTTTGATTCGTTGTCACGGTAAACTATGCAGTTTGTCGCAGTGTTGTACGAGAGAAAAACTGGAAGAACAATCGGTTTCCAAAGAATCCTTAGAAGAGGTAAACGTAATTGTTAAGAAATTGGAGGAGGTGGAGGAGGAGGAGGTGGAGGAGAATATCGTAGACGTTTCACCGGTGATAGATTTAAAAAAATGTCAATTGGACGATGGCGAAATTTCAAAATTAGTTCCACCTACGACGAGTGGACCAAATGATAGAGAGCCATGCAAATCGAGTGACGAAGAAGTACAAAGCAAAGAAGATAATGCTAACGACAAAAGTTCCTATTCGATAAGCGTCGACGTTAATGATCAAAAACTTGCTGCTAATGACTCGAGTCACGATACCGTATCGTAATATTGTATCGTTATTTCCCCCCCCCCCGAGCAAGAATCGTTACTTCCTTTTTGCTCTCGTAAATTATTTTTTAGTTTTTTAATTTATTTCATTTTATTTTATTTTTGTTTGTTTTCTTTTCTGTTTTTTGTTCTTTTTTTTTTCTTTTTCGTTCTCTTGTTTTTGTTTTTTTATTGGAAGGAAGAATCTTCCAAACGCGATAAGACTGTATACTAGTATTAAGTATTTTTAATTGTTCACAAAAATAGAAACGTCTTATCAATTATCTATAGATTTTTTTTAACGAAATTAAAAAAGAAAAATTTAATTTAAGACGTCCTTTTTTTTTTGTTTTTTATAGTCAGTATCGTTATTTTATTATATATATATCTAGTTATTAGATAGATCAAAATATTTTATAAATACACAGAGTACAAAGGATCAATTATTAATTTGCAATCCTCTAACGCATGTGTTTACGTTGATTGTTTTATTGTTTTATTTTAATCAAGTCAAACGAAGATATTTTATTAACAGACATGTTGTATTTGACAAATCGCGAATTATAATAAATATTTTCTAATAAATGTAAACTCTCTCTTTCTTTCTCTCTAGTATAGAATAGTTTAGAGATTTATGGTGATTTTTATGTTGTTGTTGTTGTAATTAAAACGATTAGGTGAAATTTATGTATCGTTGGTGATTCATTTATAATGTACGAATCGATATCAGCGCCTTCGAGATTACGATGTAAACATTTTTCAACTATATAAAATGTTTTAATATTTCTACGTAGTGGATAACATGTTCTATTGATATTATTACATAATTAAGAATAAAACAGATCTCGATTTTTAGTTATTGTAAATGTACAATATATAACAGTCGTTTGAATGAATTATTTAAGATACCATTGAAATCATGCAATATTATCAAATATTATTATCGATTACTTTTACTATTACAGTGATCAAATTAAAATTCAATCAATCCTTTTATCGTCATAAAAATTGTTTACACCAAACCAAAAGTGTCCGCAAATCTTTCCTTTATTTTCAATTAAAAAAAGAAAAAAGCGTTAAACTTATACGCGATTGAAGATTGAATAACTTTTGAAATTTTTTTTCACGTTGGTGTAACTTTATTGAATTATTTCGATTATTAGTTGACAATTGTGTAATTAATTTATTTTCCAACAAATAGATAATTTTTATTAATTATTTTTTTATAATGTTTTAATGGTTTTCTTTTTTATATTTTCTTTACCTCTCCTACACATTTAGGCTCCTTCTATCTTTAATGTCGTTATCGTCGTTAAGGAACATATTACTTTTTAAAATCAAAATTGTAATTTTAATTTACAAACGGGTACGGATTTTACGTATGGATTTAAAAAAGAAAAGAAAGAAAGAAAAAGGATAAAGTCGAGTCGATAAGAAAAATTCCTGCCATTACCGACGGAGGAATTTCATTTAAACTTTCTAGTACCGATTTCTTCGGAGATTTTTTTTTTTTTTTTTTTAATGATTACTAACAACATTCCTAACCGCCAAAAAGAGAAAACGAATAACTGTGAATGAAACTGAAAGGAAATAAATAAAAAAGCAAAACGCGAATTAAAAAGTCAGTTTAGTTTTTTTTTTTTCTTTCTTTTTTATAAATATATATATAACAATTGTGACAAAGATAATAAAAAAATCTGGAAATAAATAGAACGAAATACAAACACGATATAATAATCGAAAATAATGAACCAACGTTGAAATGACATTGTACGATAAGCTGCCACACTCTCCTACATTGGAACGCAAAAGGGGTGGGGTCGTACGTGTGGATTTGTGCGTTTGTGTGTGTGGTAGAGTTACCACGTACGATTCATCGTATAGTAGTTCTTTGAGTTTAGTTCCAACTTTTCAGTTGGTGTCGGTTGTTGAACGTGGAGTGATATGCGTGATTGATATCCCAAATGTCTCGATGATTAATGAAACAGTTATAGTGAGTACGCAAAGAAAGATAAAAAGAAAGAAGGAAAAAGAGTGTGAGAGAGAGAAAGAGAGAGAAATAACGAAAAGTGTATTCTCTCTCTCTTTCACTTCTCTTATCCCTTTCATTCATAAAAAGGATATGTTGATAATAATAAATAAAAGTTACTTTTGTGCACGGTAAATAGAAAATTTGATGGAGAACATCGAAGAAAAATAATTATGTCAAAGGAGTGGAGTGAGAAATAAAGGAAGAAATTTTAAACGACGACGAAAAAGAAAAAGAAAAAAAAAAGAAGAAAGAAAGAAAAAGAAATCGGTTAGAAAAAGTGTTACCGAGAAAAATGTTGATCCTTATTTTTTTCACCTGTGCTATCTTCTGTCGAGGTAATTATATTAACGTTGACATCAACACCTGAGTAATATCTGTTTATCCGTGTTCCAGTATTCATGTAGAAAAAAAGGAAAAGGGCAAACGCATGTCTCGTTTTTTAACTTATTAGGCGTAACGTAATGATCACGTGGTAACCATTGAGTCACATACGGGTCTACGAATGAATTTCTTCGTTCTTGATTTCGATCATCATCAATTCCTGTTATTTCATATGATGACTCGCGATTAGATTATTAGTAGAGGACGATTAGTTTCTAATATTTTATAATCATTTTATTTTCTTATGATGATGTGTTTTACATATCCGTTTTTTTTTTATTTATTTATTTTTATATTAATGATTTTATGATTATAATTTTTAAGTGAAAGTTCAAGATTAAATCGTTTAACGTAAGATAATGTCGAGAAATTTATCGATATCGTTAAATATTTATTTAGTAGTTGATTAATCGTATTATTATTCGAAACGTACTATCTACCTACTATTAAAAATTCAACGTGAATCATTCCTACACCTGGACCGTTCTTTTGTCTCATGGCTCTTGAATGAAATCACGTTTATGACCTTCTTCTTCTTCTTCTTCTTCTTCTTCTTCTTCTTCTGTAGGATCCAGAACCTGTATCGACAAATGTATCGAAAATGATTTTTCTTTCTTCTTTAAAGTCGTTTCATTATATCTAGTGTCTTTTTAGAACACGACCCAAGCTAATTAGTCCTATTAAGAACTAACTCATGTCAGGGTCTCTAAGGATCAGATTTTATATAATCATGAACCTCCATACGTTTCTTTTCTTTTTTTTTTTTTTTATCTTTCCCTCGTACTTTCTTTTTACTCAATTTCATCGAATAAAATCCCAATTGTTCTTTTTAATTCTACGTTCCGACAATGTTTAATAAAATTTCACGTGTTCGATATAACAAATATAATTTGACATTTATTATTAAATATAAAAAAAAAAAAATGGAAAAAAAAAGATTGAAATTTGAAGAAGATTTTAATAAATGTATTTCGAAATATAAACTGGACAAAAGGAAACAATATAATTATCAAAATTCTTATAAAAACTAAACAAGATAATTATAGAATCGAAAAATACTATTTTAGTAATTGTAATTTCGTAAGAGAAATTAATGACTTTCGAATGAAACGTTAAGAGAATTCTATTGTCACTTTCATAACCACGTGTATACTATAGTTGATTGTCTCTCGGTGGTATATCAATTCAGAAGTTAAGTACTCGTTTAATATATCCTGTCGTGTGAACCAATAAGCACGATCATTTAACCGTAATATTTTTTTCGTTAACGAGTACACTTATGTGAATTTTTATTAATAAACAAGTATATTGTTCGTAAAAAAAAAAAGAAAAAAAAACAATATTAATCTATTAGAAGATAAATTTATTAATATGATTTTTGTGACACGTTATTTTCGTTGGATCTTTTTTTATTCTATTAATTGATCTGAAACATCTTCTTGATCTACGAAGAAACAACATCGTGACCAAATGAATAGCATTTTTTTTTCTTCCAGAATTACATTCCTTTGAAATCACGCAATAAATATCCCTGACTTCATTCCATACGTCTAATATTAATACTGACTAACTACGTCTTATTTATGATTTATGCTAAATAACAATAGAAGTCATTCTCTCGTCGATTTAAGAACTACGCCGATCTTTGAGATCGTTTGGTCACTCTGTTATACCAAAAAGATCGGATGAAATTCCTTGACACAAATTGTGAAATTGATGTCAGATCCTTTACGACCTTCATTTCAATCATGAACGGATATAGTTTATGCGAATACGAGTACATTTTATCGATCAGAATTTAAAAATAAAATAAATATATATATTCAATATTAGAGTATATCTGTTAATGATTAATGTGAAATTTCTCGAGTAATAGATGTTTGTTTTATTACTGAAATAAATAAAAGTATAAGTTATATTATTTTATAACGCGATTGCTCAAAATAATAAAGCGTATTTTGTTCTTTTAAATCTTTTGTATGAAGAAAAGGACTTCAGTCGATAATATTAAATACAAGTCAGGTTTATTTTCATATTACTCATGCCGTTTTACTAGAAATCACATTGTTGAATACATATAGTATGCAAAATAATTTAACACTGTGTATACCGATTAACCGATCGATTTTTTTCTCTTTGTTGTAACAGTTATTTTTTCATTTGTTTCTTCGATGTTAGTATTATTGAAAAATTTATCGTTTAATATTTTCTTTTTTTTAATACGATTTTGAAATATATATATATATATATACTTTATTTTAAATTAAATCCTACAGATATATTAAAAGAAATATTACGATGAAAAATATAATAATTGTATTAAATTCTTATAAAAAAAAATATATATATATATATGAAACCCGATTTATGTATTATAAAATTAATATTACATTGCCATGTTATATTCGACAAAAAATATTCCGAAATTTGGAAATGAAATTTTTCGTTTTGTTTACAAAAGATTATATCTTTATTTAATTACCTGTTATCTGTTACCAGCTGGTCTAGGATGGACCACATGTTTTCTTATCCTGCTCTATCTCCATCCTTTCATTCTCTGTGGGATGTCCATTATTTATCTTATGTGTATTCTCAAAACAACAGTTGAAGTTTATCGTACTAACTTCCCTTGAGATATGTAAAAACATCGTTTTACACACAAATTGTTCTTCTTTTATCTTTTTATTTTAAATTTCGAATTTTCGTAGATTGTTCGAAATCGAATCGTGAAAGAAAAGAAAAGAAAAGAAAAGGAGAAAGAGAAACCAAAAAAATAACTCTCGTAGACGAAACATTCTTGAACATGCGAACGATTTTTTTCAATATCAATATATATATATATATTTTTTTTTTTTATGCTAATTATTTCATCAAAATAATATCTATCTATTGCGATAAGTGAAATTTTTTCTATATTTATTTTATCGGAGTGACATAGAATGTTTCCTTTCTTTGATATCTTCTCAGAAATAATAGATAATATTTAAAAATTTTCTATATCTCTACGTCAGTCGTTATTTATATACTAGATATTATAGAATAAACTAATTTGATATGAATATATAAATTAATTTAATAGAGAACAAATTCTTCTCAATATATTTATATTATTTTCATCTCATAATTTGTACGTATCACGCACATTATACATGTATAATATGTCTTTTATTTTTCATTTACATTGGATCGGAAAATAATTTTCTTCATATTTTAATGCAAAAGTTAAACAAGTTTTTCATTTCATATTATGTACCCAATCTTTTCCAGATAGTTAATAACTATTTTTTCATCGCGACGTTTAGTTCCTTATCAATTTCATAATTCCTAATATACCAGTATTACTAAATTATTTCCATAATTGAGATAGATACTTGAAAAATCTAAAATATCCTAATTTCCAGATTAAAAACTCTCGAATCATTTTCATTATATCTATTTATTTGTTTGTTTAATTAATCCAATGATAATCAAATTTTAAACGTAATCAATTATATTATCTGATTCAATTAATATTATCAAAATTGTCCAATCCTAAAGGAAATTATTCCTATAAGAAAAATACGAAGAAATTTTGTCTCCAGCCGAATATACACATATACATATATATAATATATATAAAGTACATAGAAACGTTAATAGAAATCTGTTGAAATAATAACATGAGATAAATTGAAATAATCAAATAATAGTCGTCGTTACTCATAATTCAATAATAATTTGTTTTAAGCTTTCGGTCTTTTTTCGAATCATAGAAATCGTGCGAGCTGGTTTTGAGCTTGTGATAACGAGGGAACTTTTATCAAAAGAACTTTTATCAAGAGAGGAAAGAAAGGACTTCCTTCCTAGCCACGGTCGCGTTGCGTTGCGTTGCGTTGCGTAGAAATGAATATTTTAACCGAGCGGATGCGTATATTTCACAGGAGAAAATAATGCAAGTATAAAAGCAAACGGGAAAAGCAGATAAAACCAATCATCCGCAGGACATTGCGGTTTAGGACTCGTTTCTCTTTACCACGGACGTTAATCGAGTCATAATTTTTTTTTGTCCTTTTCTTTTTTTTTTTTCACGCTTCGTTCAAAGCAAAAATGAAAAATTTCATTTCCCCCATTTCATTATTATTCCAAATATAAAATATTTACGTTAAAAAAAAAAAAAAAAGAGAGAGAAAAGAAGCCATTAAGAAAAAACGTCTCGTTTATTTTCCGTTGTGAATTAATAATTAATCATTATTTTTTGTCGGCATGATTTCAATCATTTTCATTGCGAATTTTATAATTGTTAATAAAACGTTGATATATCGAAGAAATATAAATGGTAGATTGTTTAAAACGTACGAATAAATGTTTTAAAGTGAGAAATATGAATTTTGAAAAATCGAGGATCATAGTTTTATCGTATTCTATTTTTGTTTTTTTTTTTTTTGTTTTTACAGTGTCATGTCAAGAAAGACCTACCCTTATAAGTCCAGAAGGAAACGAAATTATTAAAAATGCTGGAGATCCTATAATATTTTCTTGCATAGGTAATAAGAAAATTTTCTTTTACTATCCAACGAATTACGGATCGGACGAAGAAGTATCCAGAAAGGTTAACATCGTAAGATCTTGTATTATTTTTTTTTTTTTTTTGATTTTTTTGATACTTCTTTTTCTTCTTCTCAATTTAAATAGAAATATAATGTAAAAGATTTATATTATCTAGGTTATATCATCGAATATAGAAGAAAACGAAACTAATACAATTGATGGAAGAAGTATTTACAATTTTTCTCGACATAAATCCGTACCTGGTGATACGGGATGGTATGGTTGTTCTTATCGCAACAGAACAATCACTCAAAAGGATTACGACGATTTTGAATTTAATTGGGTTTACGTTTACGTGGATTGTACGTAAAAAAAAAAAACAATATATATATATTTATATATATATTTATATACATATATATTTAGCAATAATATGTTAAAGATAAAACGATCGTTTTAATTTGTAAAATGATTTGTTAATATTATGCGAATTATAAAAATATTTTTTAGCACCTAACAGTGCGTTCGTCGAAAACGTGGTAGAAACTGTGAAAGGAGCAACTGGTACTATGGCTTTTATACCATGTCGACCAACTTTGCCAAGCTTGGAAGTTACTTTATTCGATCAATTCGACGAAGTAAGCGTTATTTTTTTATATTTCTTAATCATCTAACAAATATCATTTGAGAGGCAATATCAATCGATAAAATTGCGAAATGTATTATTATAATCTATTAACATTATGATTGGTTAAACGACAGAAAATTGAAATAGACGATAATATCACATACGATCCAAAATTTGGATATAGGATAAACAATCTTAGTTTGCATAACAGTGGCATTTTTATATGTTCAATCACGAGAGGCGGTAAAACATACGAGGTCAATTATCATTTGGATGTGTTTAGTAAGTATCTCAACGAAACACCTTTATTATATATTATTTCTATAGAATTTTCATCATTTTTTTGTTATAAACTTATGTGAACAACAAATTATCGTTAAAATATGAAATCAATTTTTTCTTCATTTTTATTAATGAAATAAATTGATTTCATTTTGATAAAATTCAACATGTAAGACTATAAAATTGATGAATAGAAAAGAAATACATATATATATATATATATATGTATAAAAGTAATTCAATTGGATTTTCGTAACAGTCAAACAAAATGTGCATGAACCAAAAATCATAATGGATACTTTAAGGCACGTGATTTATGGTCAAACTTTGCGTGTTAATTGTACGATAGACTTGCAGAAAAAGTTACTTCCATTTCAATTTAAATGGATATCACCCACTGATGTAAGTTTATCAAATTAATTGTTATTATTTCATAGAAATAAGAAAAAACTTGATATATATATATTAAATTTTAGAATACACGAATGAGCCAACGTCAGGAAATCATAAAAACTGAACCGAATTTATTGCACGTGACCAAAGAAATGATCATACAGAATGTGATGGAAGAGGATGAGGGAGAGTACGAATGTGAAATTAAGATTCATGGATCCTCTAATAGAGCGAAGATGAATTTAACGATACATGGTTAGTTTTTATTTTTACTAAAGGAAAATAAAAAAAATAACAAATCAGAAATATATATATATATAATATAATATATTGGGTTGGCAAGAAAGTAATTGCCGATTTTTTTCCATAAAATAAAAGAGTGTTTTTTCTTACTTGGAATGTGAACTTTAATCTATGATGTATTTTCTCCACTTTGTTCGATAACCTTTTGCCTTCTCTCTGACAACTGGAAAATTCCACGCTCGTAGAAAGTCTGACCTTTCTCGGCAAAAAATTGTAGCAAGTACGATTTTACAGCGTCATCATCATTAAAAGTTTTACCACGGAGGGAGTTGTCCAAAGATCGAAATAAGTGGTAATCCGATGATGCAACATCAGGGCTTTATGGTGGTGGGTGTAACATCAATTCCCAACCAATATCCATGAATTTTTTCCGAGTGGCCAAAGACGTGTGCGGCCTAGCATTGTCCTGGTGGAAAATGACACCTTTACGATTGACTAATTTTGGTCACTTTTCCTTGACTGCTGCATTCAATTTGTCCAGTTGTCGACAGTAGACCTCTGATTTAATGGTTTGGTTCCTTGGAAGCAGCTCAAAATAAACTGGACCTTTCCAATCCCACCAAATTGACAGAAAAATTTTGGATATTTGCCTTTGAAGTGGTTTGGGATGACTCATTAGGCATGCACCACGATCGTTTTCGATTGACATTGTTGTATACAATCCACTTTTCGTCTCCAGTRATGATTCGTTTTAAAAACGGATCGAATTCATTGCGTTTAAGCAATAAATCGCAAACGTTGATACGCTTTGTCAGATGAACTTCTTTCCAATCGTGCGGAACCCAAATATGCAGCTTCTTAACAATCCCGACACGTTTTAAATGATTCTCAATGATTGTATCTGAAACATTTACCTTCTCTGCAATCTCCCGTGTAGTTACGTGACGATCCGTTTCGATGATGGTTTTGATTTCATCCTAATTCGGCTTAACTGGTCGACCTGAACGTTTGTCATCTTTAAAAGAAAAATCTCCAGAACGGAATTTTTCAAACCAATTTCGACATTGCCTTTCTTTATGGGTTTCATCACCATATACATCACGTATCTTTTTTGCGGCTTGCACTGCGTTCTTTCCTTTACGGAAATAATAAAGCAAAATATTGCGAAAATGTTCGTTTTTGCACTTCATATTAATATTGAAATAAAGAAAGAACATTAAGATAATATCTACGCAATGATTTTATAACGCTAGGTAAAGATTACAGATAACGTATGTAATAATAAAAAAATCATAACATTAACGAGTATTATAAAAATGGGAGTGAGAAATCTATAATCAAAATCGGTAAATACTTTCTTGCTAACCCAATATATATATATTGAGTATATACAAATATATATATATATTTTTTTTTCCTCCAGATCCAAATGAAAGATATATCAATTTGACGTCACAAGATTCAAACAGACATTATCTAAGGAAAGAAAATAGTCACGTTGTATGGGTCGTTTACTATGATGCTTTTCCCGAAGTTCAATTAAAATGGTACGTAAAATATATTTATTTATTGTTGAAATATTCTTGAAGATACTTTAACGTTATATAATAACTTTCGAATAAGGCTTTATAAAGAAAAAGAGATTATGGACGATTGGTTGAACTCGGAGGAAACAAAATACGCTGTAAATAAAACTCCTACGACAACGATATTAAGAGTCAATCGATTGAAACTCGATGATAGTGGAACATATATGCTTGAAGCTGCCAACGAACTTGAAAATAAATCTCTTAATTTTTCATTGTTTGTTTTAGGTAATTAAAGGATATAATATTAAAATGAATTATTTCTTTCTTTTTTTTTCTTTTGGATTTTTTAATAATAATGTTCTTTTTTATTTCAGCCAAACCGACATTAATATTCGACGAGATCGAATCGTATTATTCGCCTGATCAAATTTCCGATATCCATTGTAGAGCGGTGGCTTATCCAGAGCCAGAATTTTATTGGACTTTTCTAGAATGTCCTTATTATCCGTCCCGGAATAATTCGAATCTCATTAAATTAAATGTAATTAAAATAATTTTACAGAATTATCCGTTGTGTCCCATTTTAATATATGATTTTATTATTTTATTAAATGATAATTTGCAAAAAGTTTTTTTCTTTTTTTATTTAAAGTAAGTTAAGTATACAAGAAAGATTTGAAAAAAAAAAAAAAAAGAAGGAAAATTGTTTTTACGATTTATATTTTACAGTATATAATCATTTATATTATCATATATAATAGTTCATAAAATTAATTTATTTCTTACTTCGTTCACACTATCATAATTACTATTTATAATTATTATTGTTCTCTTAGCATACGACGGAAATATTACCAACGCATTTTATTTCTAAAGTAACTATGAAAATTAGAATGTCCGGCATCATCAATTGTACAGCTTGTAATTCGGAAGGATGCGATTCAAATTTCAGTAATGTTATAGTGTCTGGTAGGTACATTTTGTTTATTTTTTTTCTTTTTTTCCATTCTTTTCCTTTTAATATTTTATATAACATTTGATTTATTTTCTTTTTTCTGAATCAACGACAACGATCTAACGAAATTAAATTATCGAATAACAAATATTTGAAATCTTACGATTAATCTTTGATTAATTTGTATATTATTAATAATAATAATAATTATTATTATATTACACACAGATGGTGTCAAAGAATTTGGTATAATAGAACCAAAAGGACCGATTGTAGAAAGCGATGACATCGAAGTCATTTGTGCTGCTTCTATTTATAATTATACGAATAATATTTTATGGTTGGACAGTAACATGAAAGCGATATTAGAAAATGGTAAAAATAAAACTTAACAAACACACACACACACACACACACATATTATTGAACAAAATAATTTATTTCTAATTGAAAAAATTTATTCACATATTTATTAATATATATATATATATATATTATCAAATTTCAGAGAGAATAAAAGTTTCTTACAAGACAACTTCGTTCACTCATCGTGCGATATTGCAAATAAAAAATGTTCTTCCTGATGACTCGATGACTTATTATTGTATTGGAGAAACTAAGGATGGGAACAACACTTTTGAATACGATTTGGTGGTTAATAGTAATTATCATAATAATAATAATAATGACAAAATATTAATAACTAATTGTAATAATTATTTATCTAACAATTGTTTCATTTTCAGAACAGAAAAAACCTTCGTTTCGTTATAGTAATTTAAATGAGACCGATTTGATAATCGATTTCGGCAGAGAAAATCACAAACTCATTATTTTGAAGTGCTATGTAAATGGTATGCCGAAACCAAAAGTTGAATGGTATAAGGTATAAGACTATATTCATTTATTAAATATTATATACTATATATATATATATATTTATGTATAAAAATTCTTTGTCGTTTTTAGGGTGACGTGAAAATAAAAAACAGCGAACAGTACGAATGTAAGAAAGATAATCAAGAACTTTACATAAAATTTGTTTTTGAAAACGATAGCGGGAAATATTCTTGTAGAGCTGAAAATCGTTTAGGAAGAATAGAGGCTTATCAAAATATAACTATAATGGGTATGCTATTGACAATTGAAATTAATAGAAAAATCATTGAATTTTCTTATTATTATTTTTTGTTTTTTTTTTTTATATATATGTATATGTAATATTATATTTTTGCAGGAAAAGAATTACCTAAGGGATTAATAATCTTAATAGTCATTTTGGTAATCATACTGATTATCTTGATAGTGTATTTTACAATTAAATTTCGTCGTGAAAAGGTAAGAAAGTTAAAAAAAAAAACGACACAATGAATAATGAAGAAAAAAAGAAAACAAATAATAACACGTTTATTCGATTTTAATAATTGTACAGAAAATGAGAAAAGAGTTATTAGAAACCGGTCTAACGCATTTCGAGGAAGGTGCTCTGGAATGTTTGAATCCGGAATTGACAGTAGATGACCAAGCGGAATTACTTCCTTACGATAAGAAATGGGAATTTCCAAGGGAAAGGTTGAAGCTTGGTAATATCGAAAGATTACATATCTTTAACATATTCGATAATTCCCATGTGTCACATACACGTATGTGACGCATATAGTTACAAGTGTTACATATATACGATATCTATATAGAATACATTATTGATTTTATTTTTATATATGATTTATATGCATATAAATTAATAATTATGAGATAGCGTATAAAACAATTGAAAGAAATAATGATGATACGCGATTGCGATTTTTTCTGAGTATATTTATTGATCGTTGTAACGAAAATAATGTATTTAATGATAATTTAAATGAATACGCTTGTTAATAATTATTTAGGAAAACAATTGGGTAGTGGAGCATTCGGGGTAGTTATGAAAGCCGAAGCTCAAGGAATAAGCGATGGGGAAACTATAACAACGGTTGCAGTCAAAATGGTACGACGTACGACAGATCCAACTTACGTTCGTGCTCTTGCGAGTGAATTAAAGATTATGGTACATCTTGGTAAACATTTGAACGTCGTCAATCTTTTGGGTGCCTGCACAAAAAATATTTGCAAACGTATGTGTTATTATTTTTATATTCAAAATGAATCGTAATTGAAATAATATATCCAATTTGTTTTGTTTTGTTTTGTTTTTCTTTACACCTTAGGCGAATTATTGGTCATCGTTGAGTACTGTCGATTTGGTAATTTACATAATTTTTTATTGAGACACAGAATGGACTTTATCAATCAAATTGATCCTTCAACCGGTAAATTTGATCCTACGATCGGTATCGATCGTCTCACGAGAACAGGCAGTATTAGCAGTGATAATAGGTTTGTTTGTGTTCCCGATATATATTATTTTCTTTCCTATTTTTATAACATATATATTTCATGTCTCGGTATATTGTATATTAATCATATTTATTCATCCTATCATATAAATTATGTTATGATGATTCATTTAATGGCAAATTTGTTTGAAATGCTAGCAAGTATCATTTAATGTTTCTAATCAAGATCATGGTAATAATAGTTAATCTTCTAATGGATATTAATTGTAATTGTTATTACTAAAATATAGTAAATAATAATAATCTTTCGCTTTGATCGTTAATACCAACGGATAACACGAGAATGTGGGTTGGAGAAATGTGCATGCAATGGGCTGCGGTTTAACGACTCTTCCTTTTTTTCTTCTGCCCGTACGATAGGATAAAATATGCGGCATTGTCATTTTCTCGCAGTACCAGTATAAATTCCGGTTCCGAGATGATACACTATTATGCTCCTAATACAACGGATTCTCAAGATATGTCTATGTCACCGGATGGCTGTATACTTAGCAATAATTCATCTCAACCTGGCTGGAGATCCAATTATCGTGGTGATTATAAGGATCATAATCTAAAACCAATTTGTACTCAAGATCTTTTATCTTGGGCATTTCAAGTGGCTCGTGGTATGGAATATCTTAGTCAGAGGAAAGTAAGTAGTTATAATTTGAATTTAACATTGATACACACAAATAATGTGTCAATGCATGTTAAATCGTTATCAAAATTTACACTTAATATCACACTTTGATCGAATTAATTAAAATCTATTCGTATATTATATATTAGGTATTACACGGTGATTTAGCAGCAAGAAATATATTACTTGCTGAGAATAACATAGTCAAAATTTGTGACTTTGGTTTGGCGAAAACAATGTACAAAGATGGTAATTACAAGAAGAAAGGTGATGGACCATTGCCCATAAAATGGATGGCCATCGAATCGATAAGGGATCGAGTGTTTTCTACACAGTCGGATATATGGTCTTTTGGAATAGTTCTTTGGGAATTCTTCACCTTAGCTGAAACTCCGTATCCAGGTATGGAAGCTGAGAAACAGTATCAGAAACTTATAGAAGGTTATAGAATGGAACAACCAGCGTATGCCACTCCAGATGTGTAAGTAAACTTAAATATATATGTTATACATATTTTATAATGCATTTATAAAGGATCGTATATATGATAAAATATTTTATAGATTAAACAAATTAGCTTTCATTCTAATTATCATTTTATAGATACAATATAATGTTGCAATGCTGGAAAGCAAAACCAACTTTGCGTCCAGGTTTCACGGAATTGGTTGAAAGCATAGGTGATTTGTTAGAGGAAAGCGTAAAAACGGTGAGTCATTATTTTAAATAACTTACGATCAATGGAATATCTAACAAAAAAGAAAAAACTCTGTTCAATACAAATGATTTGTTTTATTTTAATGATTTATAGCACTATATAACTCTGAACACACCATATATGGATATGAACACGATGATTTTGGATGGAAAGAACGATTATCTCACGATGATGTCCGCACCCGATCACACAGTTCTATCATTGCCCGTTCGTGATTACGTGAATTCTCCTATTTCGGAAAATCCACCAGATTCAGCATATTTGTGTATGAGTCCGTCAAATAACGGAGACGAGTCGGGTATATTTAGTCCTAGAATGGATTCCGAAAAATTACATTTCGAATTTCCTTCAGTGACGTCTGATACTGAGGATGCAATTGAATTATCACCGATGTTAAAGAACGTAGATGATCATTATTTAAAACCGATAAACGTGCACGAACGAAGAGCAGAATTTGCTCGTAAACGACAAATAGAAAACGTTAAACCGATCGAACGAATCAATAGTACGGATTCTGGTTATTGTAACGCACCACGAAATCTTCATTTGATAGATTTAAACGGGAAATTGAGAGAAAATGATCGAAAAGATGAGGAAGAGGAAAAGGGGGATGAAGAAGAACAAGAAAAAAACGATCATGATCGGACGGATTCCATTCCAAAGAGAAAAGAATACACACCATCCATTATAAGAACTCAAGATAATTATGTGAACATGCCTAAACAGAAAAATGATTTAAAAAGGGATACACCTGACAGCTTTAGCAATCCCAGTTACATCATGATGGGAAAAGAACTAAATCATTCGGTAGTGTGACTTATTAATTGATCTTGTTTTTCGGAGATTTATTAAAGTGGACAATCGAGAATCTATATTTTTAAATAGGATGTTTTTTTTTTTTTTTTAACTTCAAAGATAATCGAAACATGTGAATATTGTTTAGAAACTCGATTATGTTAACGCAAATTTTTATTGTAATTCGAGTTGTTACTTATATCGTTTGATGTAGATTTCATCAAAAATTTCTATCGAATTACGTGTTTCAAGATCAATGACTATATTTTTCGAGAAAACGATTTTAATATAGGATAAGGTATTAGATTTTAGGGAATCATTGCATTTGTCATTTGTCATTTGTCATTTGTCATTAATATCATCCTCGCGAATATTTCCTCTTCGTTTAACAATAAGTACAAAAATTCGATGTTTCTCAGGTACGCCCAAGGAATTTTCTTTCCTTTTCTTTTCATTTTTCTTTTTTTTGGTTTTAAATATAACTTATAAAATGATCAAATTGATTTGTTTTTTTTTTTTTTTTTAAGAGAAAGATTTTTTATATTTACCGCAAAATCATAAAATCGGACACACTGCATTATATATTTTTTCATTCTTCTTTTTTTTTTTTTATATAAATGTAATAATAATAAACAAGATAATATATATAAAATCGTTGATTTTAACGCGTCCGTATTGTATATATTATCTTACGATACAACAATATTACCGATCGGTAAAATGAATGTATAATATTTTATGACTAGTGGATATTTTACGCGAGTTAACAATAAGTGTGTGCTTGATAATTCTTAAATATCTTAATAAAAACAAACATATAATGAATTAATTATTAAGTCATACTTAATACAGTACAAGAAAGAGATGTATGTGTGTATGTGTAATAATGTGATTCTTACATTTCACTACGTTCATATTAAATAATTATAATTTCTACAAATAATAAAGTTACGACAATTGTCGTTGCATCGAACAAATCAATGTAGATTTTTATCTTATAGAAATTTTTAAATGCTTAGATAATAAATATATATATATATATATATATAGTTTTAATATAAGATAGGAACAAATATAAAAAATTATAGATAAAATAAATTTTTTAAATTTATACTTTGTAAACATAAATTATAATTTCGAATTTATTTCTTCCGTAATTCTGATAGAATACGGTACATCGTATATAGTTGCACAATTACGAGAACGTCGGCCTTTTTTAATAATATCGTTAACTAATTTCCTTTTATATTGTATCCATCTAAACAAAAATGTCATAGTTTATTAATAATACGTTTCGTGTAATATAGATAAAACGATGTAGAAATAAGGATTAATCGTTACTTTCTACTGTTAATGAACTCTTTGAACAATTCCTTTCTGCTTAAAAACTTCGAATCCATAAATAATCTAACTCTGTGCCAAATATTAGCTTGATTATGTTCCATTAGCCAATATCGTGGAATAAGGAAACATCGTACAGGCGTTACCGATACGATTCTTCGATTATGCATTTTTTCACCTAATAAATCGAACGTTTTATTACTTTATAATTATGAAAATTTGATGATATTAGTAATGAGAAATAAATGTATTTGTCCAACCTATTCCAAAACAAGCACCCCTATAAAACATACACACTTGCATGAATATCGTGTGAACGTCTTTTGGATAACGTTGCAACGTAACCGATGGTTCTCTCATCAACATTTCCGTAACTTCCGTTATCTCGTGCCATTCATTCACCTTAGATTATTAACATTAATAATATTATTCGTATATTTTAATTAAATTCCATTCACTTACAACATCTACAAGCGTTGCTGTAACGATACTCGTACGTTCCAAATCAGCTTGTTTATTTGTTGATTTTTTGGATAACATAATCTGAGTATAGTCCATCGTCGTATCATTTATATTTGTTTCTAGTTTAGTCCATTTATCATTCTATGTAATTAGTACGTTAGTTAATTAAAGAGGAAATTTAAAACAGACGAATATTTAAAGATTAATAATTTTCTTTAAAATAAATAAAAAAATGGACTCTTGAAATGAATCCAAAATGTTTACCGTTTTATCATCGATCTTTGATCCTTTTTGTTTAATAATGTTATCAATGTCAATATTTTTCTCATTGGATTCTAATTCCGATAAAGAACTCATGACTTCAGAATCGAACAACTCGTATCGCATTTCATGGGCAGTTGGTTTCTCTTTAACGAGTATATGTTCTATCAAACGACATTCACCTTCCAATAAAAAATGTACATAATTGACCATGCCCTTTCCGTCGCCTAACAATACCTCGAAAAATGGATTAGAATAATTAATTCATGAGAAATACATAATAATTAGACGAATTCTTTATTCCAATACCTCGTTTGCTTGGAAATCTTTTAGCTTGCTCAAAATGCAACACTCTCGTATAGTTTCTTCGTCCCATGTTTCAAAATAATTAAAGCAGACCAAAGCATCTTGCAAAATGTTCCATTGATCCATCAAATAATCTCTTAATATTTCATTGAAATCGTCGAGATTAATGAGTAGCAAATCTACCGAGGCTAAAGAAAAAAAAAATTAAATTAATGTAATCAATTACAGATAATAAAATCATTATAATTAGTTTCATCATATTGATTGTTTACTTTTAGTGACTATGGTAGCTGTTCTTGGTATCATGTGTAACAATGCAATCTCTCCAAACATGTCTCCCGGATGCATGGAACCCATATCAATCTCCTTGGTATCGCCTATTGATTAAACAAAAAAAGATGACGACTTTTATTAAATTTAATAATAAAACTATTATTTCAAAAAATTAAATGAAAGAAAGTTATACCGGTAAGATCATCGATAACGACCCTCGTCAGGTTGACCTCCCCGTTTATGATTAAATAAAGATTTTCAGCCTTGTTACCTTGACGAACGATTACACGATCTCGTGGAAAATACTGATAAATGCATACATCCGCCAACGATTCTCTTTGTTCTTCCGGATAGTTTTTAAATGCTCGTAATTTTTTGAATAATTCGTAAATATGAGTTTTATCTGACGATGACCTCTCAATTGGATTTATCAATAGGATAGAACGATCCTTCGATTGACGAATATTTAAATAAAGAAAGAGAAAACATTGAAATTATATAAACTATTTTACATTATTGAATATGCTTATACGAGTATATCGTTTTATTAATATTTTGTGTTGCACTTTTTTTTACGAACCTCCAGGGTCAATGCCTTTTTCTCGACTTTTTTCTCTCGAGTCAATTTGAGAATAGCTGCAACGTCGTCGCTAACATCTTCGATTACAGGTTCCTGAGTTAACCATTCCATAAATTCCAAAACTAATCTCACAGCAGCACGAAATAAGTAACGGCCTTTCAACTTGTTAGTCTATGCGTTTAAATAAAAATTTTAGAAGTTTTCACGAGTCATCTTTCGTTAAAGAAAAATGGATTTTTTATTTTTTAATTTACCCTCAGACGGAATAACGATCTTCTTGTTAGAATCGCGCTGAACGATTTTCTTAAAGATGTTCTTCCAAAATCCATAGACATATTTTCGAAAGTCTTTTAAAATTCTGTTTTGAATATAGTTATAATATTGAAAATATCAATATAAACAGAGATATGTGAATTTACGTACTTATATCTTTCTAAATGAAAGTTTATTTTGTTAAATCAATAAATCGATTTAATCATGCTTTCTTCAGCGCCATTTAATAAACAGCGTCAATCACAGACGTTAAATATGATTTCAAAAGACAATTTAAAATGACAAAAAAATATTTTATTGCATAAATTTTGCATTATTTTTTTAGAAAATATTCAAATTAGAAATTTGAATACTCCGCTAAATGTATTAATATGTTTTGTCCAATAGGCGTTACAGTTTCGTTTATCTCTACGATGATTGGTTGAAATATTCGAGAAACCGTGGTACTAAAGAAAGGATTACACCCGGTTATGATTTCGTGTGCGAAAGTTACTCTATAAAGTGACTTTCAGTTTTTATATAAAGTGTTCATTCGTGAATTAAAAAATGGTAAGAATATAATATTACAAGTACTACGTATAAAGCATAAATTTATTTAATTGTTTTAAATAATTATTAATATTATAAATCTTTATAAATCTATTTTTTGAACATTGATTAATCTTGCTTAGGTTATGATCATGACAGTCAGATAATTATGACAGTCATCCTTTTGTTTTGCACGATCTTACTTATTGTTAATAATAATTACTAATATTATAAATGCTCATAAATTCATAAATTTATTTAATTATTAAAATTCATTTTTAATATTACAAATCCTTGCATAAATTTATTGAATGCAAATACATTGTGTTTAGGTTATGTCAATCATGATAGTCACTCTTTTGCTTTTGCTTTATTTACTATTAATAAATATTTTTTACATATAACATTAATAATATTTAAATTTTACAGAGTTTTGGATTACCATCGTTAAAACATAAGCCTGAAGTGGCTGATCAATTCAACCTTAATGAAGATATATATGGCATTCCAAATCCTATGATTTCTGGGTAATTATTAGTTTAATAAAATTCTTAGAAATTTAATTATTACAATTAATTGATGAAGAAATTATTATATCATCAATTTTGATTGTACAGATTGTCAGGAACTAGGCAAAAAATTGGTTATTCGCATCCTTTAGAAGCTTCAGTATTAAATGTAAATATAAATGTTTTGTTACTGTATATAATTCATTATATATATGGGGTGTTTTTCTGTAATATATGGGACTCGCTTCAGGAGTGAACATTTATCTTCATAGAAAGTGCTTGAAATGACCATCCTCAATTTGTATCCAAGCTTGTTATATCATCGAATTTCGCAGTCTTCCAAAACTTTCAGGTACCCATTAAATCGGTTGATAACTTTCTTGTATGCGTGCTTAAAATTCTTCAATACTTTCAATTCTTAAAAGTCATTCCTGAAGTGGATTCAACATATTGTGAAACATTTTGTGTATAATAATGTGTGAAATAGTAAGATATAAATAATGCGCAGATTGTAGAACTTGATTGATTTTAGTATAAGAAAAATGAAGAACGCATGAACATGGTCTTACTACGTAATTCTCAAGGATTGCATGCACCGTTGCGTCTTGCAATGGAATTAAAAGCGACTGAAAAAATTGGAAGACTTCCCTTTTTACCGTCGTCAAATATCATGAGGGATGTTATTCTTGGTAGAGATGAAGAAATTGGGTAATTTATTGAATCTGTCTCAATTTAATATTTAAATAAGCAATAATTACAATTAAAAATTAAATGTTTTTAACTAGTTTTGAGGATATATTGAATACATCTGAGTTCAGAGAACAAATGGGACAACCTCATGCTGTAATAGAGAAAAGTCTTGGTATTCTTTAAGAAGGAGGTACGATTATCATTAATAGAATGTATTATTTTTTTTTATAAAAAAAGGAATATTTGTGATGCAAATTTAAAAACTAGATATTGTGACCTGTATCATTAATTAAATAACAATTAACTTAAATTAATTAACCAAGATATTGAAACAAATGTATTTTTTTTTTACTTATTGTTATTACTCTATCTTTTATGGATTTGATGAACATTTTTACGACACCTCAACGCAGCTCACTTTTTCACAGAGGCCATAGTTTTATTTTACTTTTATTCAATAAAAGTTAAATTAATAAATGTATTGATATATTTCAGATTTTCCTTACATCTCTATTTTTCTTATTACAGAGATACATCATTCAAAGCAGTCTACAGTAACTTATTAATGATGCAAATAATGTGAACATTACATTTCCTTGATATTTGAAAATCTTTCAATCATTAAATTTTTATTAGATTAATTATGCAGAATGTATGAAAAGAAAGTTCAAAAGTTTATCGAAGAAGTTAAGATAACTTTATCAATGAGATAGAATGCATTAATGCTTTTTATTGACAAACGTGTTAGATTAGTTGACTCATTAAACATCATAATCTGTATAAATCAACAAGTCACGTTAATTACATTTGATACAGTCTAACCAATGTCATAAATTCCTACTTTAAATTGATACAACTTTGGTTGTATAATTCTTATTTTAAAACAAAGAAAAAAAAAGTCTTTGTTTCACGATTGTATGCTAATTTCGTATACTCATAAATTATTTTAGTCGATATTCATTACTTATGCTATTTTTATATTTCACATTTTCCATTATATTTTAATTCTGAGATACGACTATCGTTTAACTTTATACTTTATCAAATAAAATTGAAAAATAAAATTCAGAGCAAATTTCATTATCTCAAAGGACTATTTACAAGGCGATTAAAAAAATTGCATTAATTTTTAAAAGCAAAAACCCGTAAGAAAGTCTTGACAATTGAAATGCGACGTAATAAAATTTAAAGAGAAATTCTTCCGTGTGTAAAATCGTGAGATTTCGACATTTGGCAGCACTGATCCGTCAGTATAAAAATACAAAAATTGTCTTCCCGGCGTTCACGAGTGCATTACTATTTGGAACTGCATGTGTGTAGGATCGTTGTTCATTGTAGGAGTATTAAACCGGCACGATGTGCGATATAAAAGTATTGGATGGTGGTTTCTCGACACAATTAGCGTTGCACGTGGGTGATAGAATCGACGGTGATCCATTATGGACAGCACGTTTTTTAGCTACAAATCCAGAAGCTGTTTATAAGACGCATTTGGATTTTTTAAGAGTCGGTTCTGATATAATAGAAACTAATACTTATCAGGCATCAATAGATGGATTCATGAAATATTTGGGACTTACTAAAGATGACAGCAATAAATTAATTTACAAAGCTGTTGAGTGTGCTAAAAGAGCTGTGGAAACTTACCTTGAAGAAGTGAAAGATAATCCTAATGTTCCTAATCTTAAACCATTAATAGCTGGATCCTGTGGTCCATATGGTGCTGCATTACATGATGGTTCAGAATACACCGGTCATTATTGTTCTAATGTATCTTCAGAAATTCTAAAAAATTGGCACAGGCCACGTATCTTAAGTTTGATAGATGCTGGCATTGATTTATTGGCATTTGAAACTATACCGTGTAAAGAAGAAGCTGAAGTATTAATTGAATTAATGAAAGAATTTCCTAACACTAAGGCATGGATGTGCTTTTCTTGTCAAGATGGGAAAAGTTTAGTGGATGGTTCGGATTTTCAAAAATTAGTTGTACAATGTTATAAAAAAGCTCAGCCTGGTCAAATAATTGGTTTTGGCGTTAATTGTATTGCTCCGCAGTATGTCACTTCTTTATTGAAAGGTATCAATAAAGAAAATTCTACTGATTTTATACCATTGGTAGTATATCCTAATAGCGGAGAAAAATATACTGTAGCAGAAGGATGGAAGAAAGATAAGGAGTGCTATCCTTCGCATCAATTTGTTCATGAATGGTTGAATTATGGAGTAAAGTACATTGGTGGCTGTTGTAGAACGCATGCAACAGATATACAAAAAATACGCTTAGAAGTGGACACATGGATAAAAACACAAAATTTTACTACTTCGTCTTCATAAACTTCTCTTAGAATTAGATTTCTTTTTTTCTCTTGCATTTTTTAAATAAGTTAGCAATAATAAGAGAATATATATTACAAGCAGGAAATTTAAAAAAGACAAATTTGATAAATATCTATAAAAAAAAAAAATAAATAAATAGGTCTCGGTTATTATTATGTGCCTTTAAGATTGCGATTTAACATTAATCTGATAACTATACAAATGCATATATATTTGTTAATTTTTTAAAGTATATATTGATTATTCTATATACTACAAAATTTTTAATATGACTTTATAAATATTTTTATGAATATACAAAACATTTATATATTAATATACCAAAGAATATATTTAAACAATATATTATTATACAAATGCATAAATATCTGTTATTAATTTAGAAGTAAAGAAGAATTAAAAATGAAATTATATAATTATTCAAAACATTTTTATTAAATACTGTTATTTTTCTGTATCATATTTTTTTTCCTTAGTTATTTAATAGAACCTTTCTTTTATTTAATGATCGGTTCATTTATATATTTATCGTCCGCACATTTGTCAATGTATACTAATTCATTTCCAAGAGGGTATATTTTATCTTTAATTTTAACTTCTGCAGATTCTTTTTCTGCATTAATTATAAATAAAGCGTCATCTGGAAGTAATGTTTTTCCTGCTAAAATATTGTCAAGATTTGGTTTCAAACGTGGGCCCATGATTGGATCATTATATCGATATAATTGAACTGAAAAAAAAAGTTATTAACAAAATAAATACATTATTTCTATTTATAATTTTGATTAATATTACATACCTTCGATTAATTTTACAGATCTTAATTTATTCTCGTGTACAATACGTTCTATTAAAGTAGAAACTGTGTCGTTTTCATAAATTTTGAAATGCATACTAAATGCACCAATGTATTTTTGTGGATTTATAAGACACATCTGAACTGAAGGTTTTAAAGAAAAATTTATATAAGGAAAACCAGGACAGCATTCTTCTTTTGTTTTTTCAGGAGCTTCGTCGGTATACTTTATAATAATTTCATGTAGCTAAAATAAATAAAATGAACTACATAAATGCAATGGATAAAAATAGTATATAAAAATTATAAAATTATCAATATATATGGCAGCGTTAAATTGTATAATCAAATTAAATCGTTAAAAACTTTAATTTTTATCCGATATAATTAGGCGTTTTTGAAAAAACATATAGAAAGTATTTTATTATACATTAAAACTCATAGTTAAAGTACGAGATTGAAATTTAATCTGTCTTTAATATTTGCTTTTCTTTCTACAAATAATGCTCATAATTATCTGTTCTTATTCTATTTTTAATTATCTTATCCTGTACTTTTCTTTTAATCGCGGTGTTCTATTGTATCTAATCTACGGAACAAATATCAATTTCATTCCTTAAGTATTTGTAAATTTAAATATTACTTAGTTGAAGTATGTAATTGTCTTTTTTTTTTATATTTAAACAGGTCAGTATAGTTATTCCAAAATTTAAATAATCATTTCACGAATTAAAGAATTTCACAAAATAACGCTGACAAATACATAATTTAAAAAAATTACCTCTAAAGTATTTTGAAGATACTTCTTATTTTGTTCAAGAATATCATACTCATTGAAATCAAATGTTAGATTGAAAGCGCTTATACCAGTAGAGTCTAATTTTTCCCTCGAAACTTGTACAAATGGCATTACTCTTTTCATATACTTTTTCAACTCAGCTATGCTTCCCAATTCTGTAGCGATTGCTTTATTTTCTGGCAGTTTGTTTCCATTTTTCTATACAAATATTAAATAAGTTAATGAAGTTTTTATTAATATATAATGAATAATTAAATTTCAATTACTTACTATATACATTTCCTTCATAGTTTTGAGTACAATACTTTGCCAAGGAGGATAAGTTTTGGCAACCCAAATAATTCCTTTATTAGGTTTCTCTGGAGATACGGCATTTGCACTTTTTGAAACTTTCTTTGGCGTTAGATAATTCTTTAAAAGAATTCTAAATGAATGGGCAGCATCCATTAAATACTGTGAAGATTTGATGAGTACTAAATCGACAGTACCAGCTATTGGCCATCGACTGTGTAGTATACTATCTTTCTAATGTAGAACAGAATATTTTTTGGTTTATATTTAAATAAAATAAAATATAAAAAAATATATATAATCTATATTTATATACATACGCGTATAATTTGGATAATACTTACTTTACCAATAATATTCCATACATATTCCGATACATGAGGACATATTGGAGATAACATAATAATTTGCAATTCTATGTACTTAATAATAAGATTCCAGTTAATACCATCTAATATGCTTAATTGTAAGTATTTATCTCTAGCAGCTTGTAGTTCAAAAAAGCCAGTTCTTAATGCATCTTTATAAAGCATTTTTGAATAATTCTCATTAGTTTCTTGTATTTTTAGATTCATTTCACTATTAAAAAACAGCTATGTTATATTGTATCTATAAGAACATATTAATCGGCAATTAGGATATACCTTTCCAAGACTCTATCATTGAATGTATTTGGTTGATCATGTCTGTATTGATTTTTTGGCATATTCATTACTTCCTTGACCCATTCAATGAATGTGTACAATCTGAGAATTCCTGCATCAGCAGTACTCTCTACAAAATTAGCATCTTCCACTGAATCTCCAGAATCAGCCAAACATAATCTCATCCCATCTGCTGAATATTTTTCAACAGCTTCTGCAAGTGTTAAAAAATTCCCTTCGGATTTTGACATCTAAAAAATATAATCATTTAATCACTGTTGATTTATATATTCAAGAAAAATAAATTTTGTTTAGTTAAAAAAAAATATATATATATATATACCTTAGATGAATTTAATAGTAAATGACCGTTTGCTCGTATTCCTTGAGGCCATAATTCTGGTTGCTTAGGCCATATTGCAGTGTGATTATAAAGAAAGAATGTAAGATGATTTTGTATTAAATCTTTTCCTGAAACTCTTAGATCGACTGGATACCAGTAATGAAATTCTCTTCGCATTCGATCTAATGCTTCTTTTTTAATACTTGTTTTAGGTAATTTTGCATCATTGAAAAAAATATAATCCCAGACTTCTGATGTCATTTCACTAGCCCTGAATATAATTATTCAAGTAAAACAAAGTATATAATTTAATGTCGATATAAATAAATGTAAACTAAAATGTTATACTTTATCCCTAGAACATTTGGCTTGTCTCCCTTGAATGTTTCTCCTTGGATTAAATGAGCTATTGTATAATACGCCATATAAATAGTTGAATCGGAAAGAGATTCAATCAACCAATTTTCGTCCCATGGTAATTTTGTTCCTATAATTTTAAATATAAAATTAAGATTTATCTTAATAATAATATATAATTATGAATTCCAATTTTTATTTACCAAGACCATAAGTCCTAGAACATGCATACTCATGAAGCCAATCAAGACAAGCTATAAAATTTTTTCTAACTTCGTCATGAAAGGCATTTAGATTGTTTAAGGCTTTCATTGTTTCCTTTTTCCAATTTTCTTCGCCATAATCTAAATACCATTGATCGCACAAAGCGACTACGCATTCATCATTCGATCTTGAAATAATTGTTTTTTCAGGTTCATAATAAATAACAGCACTACCATCACGGACTAATGCTTGTTGAATTTGTTTTTTAATATCCTGAACCTTTTTGCCCTTATGTTCACCAACTAACAATATACCATCATAAAATCCTTTAAGATATACCATCTCCTTGGCTTCCATCAATTTAACTTTATCATTTTGAGACTGTATTTTTAATTTATCATACAGTGTTACTGCAGCTAAGTTTCCAAATTCTGGGATTTCAAGGATAGGTATCTATAGTGGAATTATAAATGTAAATATTTATTTTTTATCCTTATTTAGATTAACCAAGAATGTTCAACTTACAGGTTCATAAGGCAGCACCATTTCATCCTTGATTCCATATTTTTCTCTAAATGGTTGTTTCTTCTTTAAATCTACTAAAGCAGCATAGTCATCCGGAGAATCGCTAGGCACTGAAGTTACTATTCCTGTTCCTTTATCTTCTTTAATTGTTAACATGGGTAATGTGTAAACTATTTTATGAGATGTAAGAGGTGCTTCTACTCCTACTCCTAAGATTTCCTATTAATATATAGATAATATTAATATAAATAAACAATATATTAGAATATATTTTTAAAGTGATATTTATAGAACTTACTTCTCCAGTTAGTTTTAAAAGAACTTCTATTTTTTCTTCTACTTCGAAAAAGCCTTGATAAGCCATATTTCGGGCTGCTCTTTCAGTCGATATGAATACTTCACCATTCTTTAAACTATACGCAATGTAATTTATATCTGGATGTGCCCAGCAATTAGTTTGACCGTACATAGTTTCAGGTCTCAAAGTTGCTGCGACGAGGAAAACTGGTTTTCCAGAAAGTGATCTGCAATATAAGATGTTAACAATAAGTTTCGGTTTATTATTAAGAAGAACAAATTATAATGCAAACGTTATTTACTCGAGAGATTTAGGATAAGGCTCTTGTATTTTTAATTTGATTAATGTATATTCTTGTGGTCCAACACCTTCACCAGAAGATCTATCGTGATCCATACACGGTTGGCCATCTTTTGGAGAATAAATCGTATATCTTTTTCCATATTTAACTTTATTTCTATGTTTCAGGTGTTCAAATTGCCATTTTACAAATGAGTCGAAAAAGGGATTAGCATCAGTTGTAATAAACATGCGACGCCAATCAACCTACAAATTTAATAACGATAATTACAGTTAAAGCATATCTTCTATATTAGAAATATTGTTTTTTAACATACATGTAATCCAATTGATTTTAAATCTTCTACGGCACGAGGCGGGAAATAATCAAGCCAATATGCAGCATCTGCAAATTTTTTAATTTCTTCGTCATCTATTCCAAGAGTTTGCATAATTTGCCATTGGTATTTAGCGGTTCCAGCCTTGGCGACTGCTTTACTCTACAAATATTATAAGGATTTAATATTATTCTTAATTTATATGATATGTTGCATAGTTGATAAAAATTTCTTACTTTTTTCCCTTTACTTTTATCCTTTATTATTATGTCATCTACTTTTTCTTCAATTACAATATTTTCTTCAGGAAATTGTGGTGGTAAGCCGTATAGTTCTATTTCTCTTTTTAATTTATCGGCACAAGCTTTAATTGGCATACCGGTGCAATGGAAACCAAATGGAAATAGAACTTTTTTTCCTAACAAACGGTTATAACGTACTGCGAACTAAAAGATATGAAAATATCATATTGTAGTATATATAAGGATATTTTTTAAATTATACAATTATTATTAACAAGATCTTACTTCACATTTTGACAAAGAAAATACATGTCCTAAATGAAGTCGTCCATTCATATAAGGAAATGGAAAAGTTGCCAAAAATTTATCATTTGGCGTATTTTTAGGTTCTAATGGTGCATCTTCTTCATAAACTTTTGCATTATACCATTTTTCTTGTACTTCTCTTTCAATTTTTTGAAGATATTCAACTTTAAAGGTACCTTTCCTTTCTGCCATTTGCTATAGAAAATTATAAACATAAAAATATTTTATAGAAATTATAAATGAATTATCGATTTTTCTTAGATACATATAATAATATAGATTAAAGATAATTTAAAAGTAACGCGAATGAACAATTACTTTTCACAGTAGACTTTGCTGTCAATCATATTTTTTTAATTTTATTCTACTTGGCAATTTTTATTTCGAATATATATGATTCAATTTAAAAATATATATATGCATATATTATAATAAAACTACATAAATTATAATTTAATTATATATATAAATGTGTTACATCTGTTAGCTTTGCCGGCATTGAGGTTAATTCGTATTCTTATCTATATTATAAGCGTATATGCAAAAATTAAATTAATATAATACCTTAACAGTAGGCGTGACTACCATTTTGATAGTAAATCTTAAAATAATATTTATATTGTTAATTAAATATTCGATTACTCAGCTGACTTGCATCTGGCACGTGTATGCAACTGTTATAATCAGCAACGACCAATCACTTTCGTCATACATTAATTTGCATTAGTGTCATATTATATTTCATCATGTACTTTCAAAATCATTAAAACTTTAGTTTAATGTTACGCTAACGATGAAATTAATTCATATAATATAACATTTGGAGTCAATTATATAATTATTTAAATCTTTTTTTTTTTTCTAAAATAATGATAGGGGAAAAAAATGTAGATAAAATAAAGCAATACTTATTATTTTATTATCATAAATTAGCATAAAAAATGATCTTATGCATTTTACGAAAAATACAAATACGTTTTTCTTTATTATTTTTAAATATTATTACATACGTTCAAGCGGTTTAATACCGAGTATAGAAAAGCATTGTTCCATCATAATAGCGGTAACTTCTGTTAATAATAAACGTCCCATATTAACTTTAATTATTTCACCAGCTTGATTCTTTTCAAGGCAATAACAATTATCATAAAATTCGCTGAACGCGCATGAAATTTCATAGCAATATTCGCAGAGTTGATGCAAATGTAAATCTTTAGTTATTTTAATTAATATATCAGGAAACTTTAACAGAACTTTAGCTAATTTCCATTCCTTTTCGTGTTCTAAAGATATCGGAACCTCTTCCACAGCTTTCTTTAACTGTTCTCGAGTAATATTAGCATTTCTAGCAATTGAACGAATTCTAGTTAGCGCATAAAGTAAATATACTGCGGTATTTCCCTTGTCATCTAACATTTTGTCAAATGAAAATACATATTCGTGATTTCTATTATGAGATAAATCAGCATATTTAATACAACTATAAGCAATTGATTCTTGAGCTGCTTTAAGTTCATCTTCTGTAAGTTCCTTGTCACGTCCCTTTTCTTTAAGTTTTTGTAGCGATCTGCTTACACCTTTTAGAAAAAAGTAAATGAATATATTTGAACATATTTATAAGAAATCTTTGAAAGCAGATTATTAAGTTCATATAATAGGACGTCATTATAAATTACCTTCATCTAATAATTCTGATAATTTGATGGTATCTCCAGATCGTGTTTTAAATTTCTTTTTGTCCTCTCCAAGAACTACACCAAATCCAACATGATCCACTCTAACATTTGATGGAAGAATACCTACTCTCTTCGCACATTTAAATAATGTTTGAAAATGTACAGATTGGCCTGAATCTGTTACGTATATTAACTGAAAATAATATATAATTTATATGTTTTTATACTGTATGCAAAGGATATACTAGTTATAATTCAATTTAAATTAAAGTTGATTATTGGTATTGATTATAATCTTAAATATACCCAATTAGCTTTTTCATCGTGAATGCGTTGTTTGATACAAGCCATGTCTGATGTATCATAAGTAAAACCACCATCTGATTTTATAATTGTGAAAGGTATACCGCTACGATCTTCTCCCCATAATATTTTACGACCTTCGTCTTCCTCTAAAAAATTTTGTGCTTCCAATTCTTTCACTAATTCTTCCATTTTCTTTTGATAAAATGATTCTCCCCTTTCTATGATCTTAATATCAAGTCGATCATACAAATTTGCAAATTCTACGATAAATACAATTATATGTAATAATCATTATCAAATTTATACTTTATTATATAATTTAATTGTTACCTTTTCTAGATACATCGCAAATTAATTGCCAAGCTTTGATTATTGCAGGATCAAAGGACTGCAGTTTAACAACACAATTGTATGCACGTTTTTTAAATTCTTCGTCCGAATCAAACCTTTTTTTTGATTCTTTGTAGAAATTCTAAAATAATACAAATAGGAATCATAAATATTATTATAAAGAAAGTAATAAATTAATCATACAAAAATGAAATACCTGAAGGTCAGCAATTGGTGGAGATACAGTTAAATAATCCGGAAATGTGTCCTGTAGATGAGCTATCAACATTCCAAACTGTGTTCCCCAATCACCAACATGATTTATTCTTAAAACATCATGACCAAGATACTCTAATAATCTACAAATACTTTCACCGATAATTGTAGATCTCAAATGACCAACATGCATTTCTTTAGCAATATTAGGACTTGAAAAATCTACAAGTACTCTTTTCTTATCCACATACGGAGGAAATACTGATCGTGCTTTTATAAATGTCTTCAACACTTGTTGTCCAAATTCACGTTTTAAAAATACGTTTATATAACCTGGACCAGCAATTTCTAATTTTTTAATAAGCGGAGATGGCTCTACTTTTGCTAAAATATTACCAGCAACGGCTCTTGGATTTGTTTTAATATCTGAAATGTTTAAAATTTGATAATACGATAATATTTAAAAATATTTCTATTGATTTCAAATACGTACCACCAGTATTTAATAATTTAAAAATCTGCATAGAACTACTAAATTCATAATCTCCAAATTTAGCATTGTTCACTACTCCAACAGTTATTGGTGGATTTACTAAATTAGGATAAGCGGCAGCAATAGCATCTTGAAATAAATTAAATAAAGTTTCAGATATACTAATAACATTACTAACAGATGTGTCAGTTGTACCAGACATTACTTCAGTTTGTGATTTAGATTTTCTTGCTTCAACAGCCTAAAAATATATAAAGAAAAATTCATTAGATAATTATAATATAAAAAACAAAATAAAATTTATAAAATAATAAAATATAAATATACCCTTTTAAGTATGTTAATTCTATATTTTAATTTAAGATTTTCTTGTTGCAAACTCGCATAATCTTCTTTCGAAATATCGCATTTTTCAGCATTCTCATTTGTTATACTTTCACGCAAATGTTCGATTTCCTTTTTCAAAATTTCTATTTGTTGTTCCTAGAAAAAAAAAAGGAAGATGTGTGTATGAAAAAATAAAGTTAACCTCAAATCTTTTCCAGATTATTCCAGACAAATCAAATTTTATATTTGACAAATAAATGGATGAAAAAAATTACCGCTTCGGTTGCTCTTTTATTAAAAGCATCTATATCAAAGATCGACATTATATTAATAATTTAGATCTTAATAATTTATAAATCGACTATACCACGTGGATAACTTAGAATACGTAGCTATGACGTATTAAAAATCGAAGATTCTTTCATTCATCTTTAAATTTATATACTCGATTGAAAATTAAGTAAAAACGATGGAAATAATGTTTAAATTTGTTCAAATTTTGTACACAATTTTGCTACTCTAAACTATAAAATTCAAAAGTAAAAACTTAATAAACTATGTAAATTATTATAATTTATGCGATATAATATATTGTTACAAATGTGAAATATTTATTCATTTATATTTATAATTTTATTTAATTAAAGCAACATTTTTATTTATATTAATTATGTCAAACTGTATGCAGGGGTTATGGAATTATTTTTATTACATGCACAGTTAATACAAATTGTTTATCCTCGTATAGGTTTATCAAAATCGAACAGAAATATTAATAAATACAAATGTTTTTATTTGAAGTTACAACTATTAAATATTTTTTAAATTTTACGTTACAAAGTATAAATAATTTTTTGAGATTTTGTTTTTATATTTATAGCGTCGATATAATAATTTATTTTTTAAATCAATATGAGTTTTTAAATATGGCGGCATAGAGGGCGATAACGTTTGCACTATCGGTAATGTTGAGGAAACGAATGCGTTAGAAAATTCAATTTGAAAAATCTTTTTTGACTAGTTAAACGTGTATTTTTGTACCGTAGGAACGCTGGCAAGGAACCTTAACAGCAGAAACAAATGAATAAGTGTTCTTAATTCCACATTAATTGTACATTTAAAATCTATAATTGCACACTTTATCAATTAATTATTTAATTAGTTATTAATAATTGAAAATACAAAAACGTTTTTTCCTATTTCTAAGCAAAGCAATAAAGTGTGCAATTATAGATTTTAAATGTACAATTAATGTGGAATTAAGAGCACTTATTCATTTGTTTCTGCTGTTAAGGTTCCTTGACAGCGTTCCTACGGTTATTTTTGTCTATTGCATCTTGCACTTGCACCAGGTGTTCGTTTGCATCGTTGTACCGACCATTGACAATAAGAAATTTCTGAATTTATTGACTTCATTAATAGTAGAATTCTGTTCTTACTACTGTTGATAGTAGTAGATTCTTGCATCTACCGACTTGTCGGTATTAGTAGATCTCTGCATTAGAAGGATTCCCTCAGCTGAGATACTCTGAATATACAAATATATGGTAACGATGATCGAGGTTATTTGAATTTATCGAATACTTAAAAATTAATGGCTTAATAAATGTCGATTTTTGGTTATGATGAGACATCAAGATATTATAAATGACAATGATACCGAGACTGATACTGCCGAGGAAGAAGAGATCACAGAAACCGAGGAATCTTCATCAACAGGAAAAGTTACTCCACAACAATTAACATTATCCTTTTCAAAATTGTTCTATAAAAGACTTCCGAAAAAGTGTGTTAAGTTTTCTTTTTTGAGTCTAAACAGTGTTACCTTCGTAAGTTTTGATATAATAATAGTCCCTCTAAAGAGAAAAGAAAATATAATTAAAAATATTAATATGAATTTCTTGTTCGAAGCTTGCTGGTTTAAGTGCTGTGATCATTTCAATTTGGATGCTTGCCGATAGTAAAATGATGTCAAGATTGATAGGACAACGTATATACATAACGACGTTACTCATGATAGGAATATTCGCATCTATTTTAGCAGTTATCGGTATATCTGGTTTTTTCAAAAGAAAATCCAATTTTTTGATGATCGTAAGTTGATCTCGATGAACTAAATTAAATGATAAAAATCAATTCAATCTTAAAGAAATATTCATAGATAAATGTAATCCCTGTATTGCAGTATATAATATTCCACGCACTATTTCTTTTTTCAATTTTCATCTGCTCTGTTTTGAGTTTCTCTTTATTCGATAAACTTACGAGAAGTATTCACGAGGATATGTCTAACTCGATCGAAAATTATCGTTATTTGGATTGGGTTACAGAAGCTTGGGATAATACGCACAGATACGTAAGTATTCTGACATTATTTCAATATTAAAATAAATAATAATAATAATAATGAAGAAATAATTGATCTAATCAGTTAAAATGTTGCGGTATTCGATCGCACGAAGATTGGATAAAGCATGGTATGCTTATACCACAGAGTTGTTGTTCGACTACCGTCGACAAGGTATGATTTATCCCAAACAAAATATATATTTATATTAATATTAATATTAACGAATAACGTCGAACGCGACGTGTCGTTAAATTTTATTTAAATTCATAGAAAAAAAAGAAAAACGTCGATAACTTTTTTTAGTGTTTAAACATGTCCGCCGAAGTAGTGTACGAGTCTGGCTGTTTAAATGGCGCCGTTGATTTCCTCAAATCTTCGATTCATACGGTTTCTATGTCGGCCCTTTTCGTGTCATTAGCTCTAGTACGTAATACGTTATTTAGGATAAGAATAATAATTGTTTATTCGATGCATTTTCTTTTTAAAAAAAATCTTCTCATTTTTAGTTCGCAAATTTGTTCTTTGCTCTTGCTGTACGAAAAAGATTCAAGATGTACCCATTGAACTAGTAACGAGTCGTATTTACTTACATATCACATATGACCTGAATAAAGTGAATACGAAAATCTGTGATCAGAAGTGAATGACAAGTCGGCGATGAAACGTTTTTTTCCCCTTTTTATTATCATATATAGATCATATATTTTCTGAAAACACTTAATATATTGTACTTAAGAGATAGTAATATTGTGTGTGTAAGTTATTGGACATGCTGGTAGGGTCATGACATTCCTTCCTGCCTCTGGGCAGTATATATATATATATATATATA